AATCTACCTCTTTAGGGCCCAACGTCCATCTCACAATCAATTGATGTGGGATCTCACAGTCCACCCACCTCGGAGCCTAACGTCCTCACTGGCAATCAACCGATGTGGGATTTCACAATCTACCTCCTCGAGTCCCAGCGTCTTTGTTGGCCCTCGTTCCTTTCTCCAATCCCAACGTCCATCTCATAATCAACTGATGTGGGATATCACAGTACACTCGCCTCACAACCCAGCGTCCTCACTGGCAATCAACCGACGTGGGATTTCACGATCTCACATCTTTATTTTGGTCCACAATTTTTAAATTTGTGCTATTTTGATTATTGAATTTTAAAAATATCTATTTCAGTTCCAAACTTTTAAAAAATAACAATCTTAATTCTTACTTTGATTTTAATTTTAACGAAATAATATCATAATTTTAAATGTGTTCTAATATGTTAATACAAAGAATAATTTTAAAAAAAAAAATTAGAAGCTATTTTGAAATATGAGAAATTAACATAAAATAAATAATTTTGAAAATTGTGACTAAAATAAAATTTAAACCTTTAATTAGAAAATAAAAAAAAAAAAAAAAAGGAGGGAAAATCAGAAGAATGGGCTTAGAAGAATTGACCGCCAAAAACTCGATGCCGTCAAATTAGAAGGAGGCATGGGACTCTCATCTTCATTCTCCTATTCTACTTCTCACCCACTTCTTCCCTTCCTCTCCTCCGCCTTCTTCTTCTTCCTCTTCCCATAATTTTCTTCTCTGAGAATCCTTTCCGCCATGTTTAGGCTCTGGAAATGGTATCAGAACTGCCTCACCTTCCATCCGGTGAAGACTCAGGTCATCAGCTCCGCCATTCTATGGGGCACTGGCGACACTGCAGCCCAATACGTTACTCACTCGGCCGCCAAAACGCATCTTCAAACTTCTGTGAGTATTATCCCCTTCATTTTGTTTTCTTTGTAACTTCATTGATGAGGCTATCTTTCTTGCTTCCTTCTTTGAGCTTGTGGTTGATTTCCTTTCATTGATCGGCATTTTCTTGTTGACTTAAATTGCTCTTGTTCTTGTCTTGTTCTTGCTCTGATTTAGGTTTGAGCGATGAAATATTTCATTGTCTTGTTTTTGTTAATTTGTCATTTGATTTTTAGTCATAACTTCAATTAATTCCTTGGTTTTACTCGAGCAAGAAATTACCGTAAGTTTCGGCGATCTTTGCTTTTGTAGAATTAGCCCGCGTAATGTTGATGCTGTATCTTGATTGCATCTTCAGTGCATTTTGAAGTTTTCTGATTAATTAAAGTTCTTGGGCTGTGGGATATCATTTTATGTCTAATGTATATGAAGGATATTTGTTCTCAATTTTTGGGCAATTTTTTTAATCATTTAGAAGTACCACTTTCAATAGTTAACTAAGAACTACTCTTCTTTAAAGCGTGTTTCAAATTTCATCCAATCTTTTGGAGAGTGTTCTTTACTTTAGAAATCCTGAACTAAAGTGTATTCTGGGAGAATTTTACTGAATTTTCTTAGAACTATCACGGATGCTGAATTTCATTCTTGGGGAACATCCCTTGAAAATGGAGACAAAAGCCCTGGGGGAATTTTATTACACCCTTCTGCCGGGTCACTTGGCAAGAAAGAAACAGTATGATTTTTCAAGACGAGAAATCCTACAGAATGTGATTGAATTTCCCGAGTAACTTAAGACTTTGGTTGGGTGTCATTGTGTTCTCCTGCTCCTCTTGTCTCCTCCAAGGCCCACTGCCTCTTGCTAATGGTGGAATCTCTGTGAGCTTATGTTCTTGTACGCCTATCAAATAAAAGTTCACGAATTGTCAATCTTTTTGTTGGTTCACAACCTGCTTACCTTCTCTTAGTTCAAGCTTGGCATGATCCTTTTCTGACCATATAAGGGTGATGATATTTGAAGCTCCAAGTTACTGTAATAGCCCAAGCCTACTGCTAATAGATATTGTCCGTTTTGGCTCATTACGTATTACTGTCAGCCTCATGGTTTTAAAACGCGTATGCTAGAGAGAGGTTTCCACACCCTTATAAAGAATACTTCGTTTCCCTCTCCAACCGACGTGGGATCTCACAGTTACTTTATCCAGTTATTCGTATTCCAATTCAATCTTTAGCACAAGACACCAGTTTGCCTAGATCTATAATTAAGTTTTCTTAATCTATTTTTGGTTCTATTTTCATATTTGTTTTTGCTCTTTTATTTCACATCAATTTTCTTTGGTTTTTCTCTGAAGTTGTTGTTGCTAAGTGGTGCTCTTCCTTTATTTGTTGATCTGAAATAACTTATTATACTGATATTAGGTGTATATTATAACTGAACTAACACCTACAATTAATTTTTTTATGTAGCAGGATGCTGAAAAAGAGTTCAAAATCAACTGGAAACGTGTTGGAATCACAAGCATGTTTGGATTCGGCTTTGTTGGACCAGTCGGCCACATGTGGTTCGTTTCCTTTATCTTTTCCTTATCAACTTTTGGTCATATCTATCATCTTTGTTACTACAAGAATAAGCTTCTATATTCTCAGGAAGGCAACATGGCTCTGCTTTATCCATTATTTTTTATTTTCATATTCTGTGAATGCATAGATTGAAGTGGCAATTGATTGGTTTGTTTAATCTTCATGGTTCTCTATGTAAGGAAAAAAATCTGGAAAGTACTTTAGATTCTTGGATCAAGTCCTTTCAAGTACCATACACCATTAAATGGATAACGTATCTAAGTTTCTTGGATCCATGAAGTTTGTGAGTTTAATATACATGAGTTTGGTTTGTGGATTTATAATTTGTCGAGTTAACATGGAGTATAAGAAGGCGATTCTATAGTCTCGAGTTTATATATCCTTCAGGTTTAGTAAACTCATATTTTTGATAAGTAACATAACTCACTCGAGATCAATGCGGGTTTAAACATAACTCACTCAACTTGTTTACATTAGGTTATATAAACTTAACTCGTGAACACCTCTAAAGTTGCATGAGTTTGTAAAGTACTATTTTTTGTAACTTGATTGGATCCCGTGTTTGTGGGCGGTGTTCTTTTTTGTATGCTCTTGTATTCTTTCGTTTTCTCTCATCGAAACTAGTACGATTATTTGTTGGAACGATTGTTTTGAACTTGTACGTTATTTGTGCACACGGGCATTTAAGAAATCGGATCGTTTGGTAGGTATGAAGGATTGGACAGATTTATAAGGCTAAGGCTTCAGCTACGGCCAAAATCAGCCAAGTTTGTTGGGGCAAAACTGGCAATGGATGGGCTGATCTTCGGACCGCTCGACTTAATCGTGTTCTTCAGTTATATGGGATTTGCCAACGGCAAAGATGCTTCTGAAGTGAAAGAAGACTTGAAGCGGGATGTGTTCCCGGCGTTTATGTTGACGGGTACGGTGTGGCCTATCATTCAGGTCGCAAACTTTCGATATGTGCCAGTGAGGTACCAACTTCTCTATGTTAACTTGTTCTGCTTGTTGGACAGTGCTTTTTTGTCATGGTTTGAGCAACAAAATGATGCTCCTTGGAAGCAATGGTTTACCTCTTTTAATCCTTTTAATGAAAAATAAGAGATTTTGAGACTCTGAGGAAATGCCTGATTTGTTCCCTTTTATAGACTCTCAAGATATTCTAAGCCACTTTTGTTCAATCTCTCTCTCCGTTTCAATCAACTCATCATGCCCTGTTTTCCAAATCTTTTCTTTAAACGTGTACACTTTGAATTGAGAGCTATTCCGGGGATAAGATCATTTCTTTTCGATAACTCAATTATAAGAACTCTAAAGTTGAGCGTGTTTTGTTTAGAGCAATTTTATGTTAGAGATATTTTCCTAAGAAAGACCTAGGTTGGTCCGAGGAAATTTTCTTAGAAAGTGTGTGAATGAGTAGAATAAATAAAGCGAACCATGTCATAGGAGATGCAATAAAGCATGAAAAGACTTGTGTCGGTTTGAAGCCTACCTAAAAGTTGTCGGTTATCTCGTGGAATACTGAATTGAAGAAATTGAAGAAAAGTATTTTCGGTTGGATTGGGTGACATGGACCTTGTGATTCATCTGGCGTCTTATCTACATACGTACTTGTCTCGTTTTGAGTGCTAGGACTAATAAAATCTGAATCATTCTACCAATAAGATTTTAACCAGAGAGGTCGTTCATTTGACTAAGAAATATTTAGCATAATTGAAAATTACTACTAGTAAATTTTGTTATAAAAGAGCAATAAAACATGAAAAGACCTACCTGTTCGAGCGTGACTCGATACCATGTAAGATGATAGCCAAATTATTGTTACTATTATCATAAAAGGACTGCGGTCATGTGTCATGCCTAACAAAAGGACAAATAATGCCAACTTTATGAAGAGAGGGGGGGCGTGTGTCACCTGCATGGCTCTATGCTCTTTGCCTAAAGCCACTTTATCAATTCTGTCCAAATTATTTTTTTTTTTTTTTAAAAATAGTCTTTTTTTTTTTTTTTTTTTTTAATCATGATTCTCCACAATGATATTATCTACCTTGAGTCTCTCGTGACTTTGCTTTCTTTTATCATGATTCTCTACAATGGTATGATATTGTCTACTTTGAGCATCGTGACTTTGTTTTGAGCTTCTCAGAAGGCTTCCTATTAATGGAGAAAGTATTCTTTGGTTATAAATCCATAATCATTCTCTTACCAGAGTGGAACTTTCATCGTGCAACAAAATTAATACAAATATTAATAATATTTTTAAACTTAAAAAAATTTAAAAATACATTTACCATTAATAATTAAAAACACCAGTAAACTTTTAGGAGTATTCTAATATTATCCTTAAAAAAGAAATTAAACAGAATATTACCATTTTAGTTGACAATCCAATCTAATCTGGTTCCATCCGGTTAGATTAAGTTAGGTTATAAACTCTATTAAAAAGAAAATTTTGAAATTGTTAAAATTTGAAACAATATCTATATATGTCAATAAACTAACGTTGGAGATAGGCATGCTTTTCTTTATCTTTCTTTGTTTCTTTTATTATTATTATTATTTATTTATTTATTCTCGTAGAAAACTCTTTCTTCGACGTGTGCACTTCTTCATTTTTCCAGCGATGCAATCCACAGTGTCTCTGCAACCACAAGACGACGCCCGACAGCTCTTCCTTCCACTTCTCGATTCATCGCCTGAAACTACCACCGCCGCCGTTGTTGACGGCGGAAGAGGAGGAGGAGGTTCATTTCCTAAGCTGGTCGAATCGTCCCCGTCGCCCCCGAACGGCGTTGCTGAAAGAGAGAGCCGTCGTATCAATAAATATGTGCTCGCCGGTGCCGTTTTGGCTTCCACCAATTCCATTCTCCTCGGCTATGGTTAGTTCGTACCATTTTCTCTCTCAATTTCTTAGTTTTTTAATCCATTTAATAATTAACATATATTTATTAAATTTGAATTTAAATATATATATATATATATTTAAATTAGTTGTAGTTATTTCAACATTAAATGAAAATTTCTGTAATTATTGATAAATTCTATATATTTTTTAAAAATCCAAGAACAAGCTTGATAACATAAATATATATATATATATATATATATATATATTTTTAATTATTGATTAAATAGTATAATTAAATTTTAATTAGTTTAATTAGTGTAATTGTGCCGATAATTTCAGATATAGGAGTGATGAGTGGAGCCATTTTGTACATCAAAGAGAATATGAAAATCACCACAGAACAACAAGAGCTCTTAGTCGGTTCCTTAAACGTCTGTTCTCTAATCGGAGCTCTCGCCTCCGGCAAGACTTCCGACCGGATCGGCCGCCGATACACAGTCCTCATAGCCGCCGCCACATTCCTAATCGGCGCCATCTTGATGAGCTTCGCACCGTCTTTCCTCTTCCTTGTCGCAGGCCGCGTCGTTGCCGGCATTGGCGTTGGCTTCTCTCTGATGATCGCTCCGGTCTACGTCGCCGAACTCTCGCCGGCGTTTTCTCGAGGCCTCCTCACATCTCTGCCGGAGATCTTCATTAGCGCCGGAATTTTACTCGGATATATTTCAAATTACGCCTTCTCTGGCCTTTCTGAAACCGTTAATTGGCGATTTATGCTAGGGATTTCAGCGATTCCGGCCGTAATTGTCGCCCTCGGTATCTCCGCCATGCCGGAATCGCCTCGATGGCTTGCGATTCGCGGTCGAGAAATCGAAGCGAAACGAATCCTAATTAAAATTTCTGAATCGAAAGAAGAAGCCGAACTCAGATTTACAGAAATTACCAGATCGGTTTCCGCTTCTTGCAAATGGCGCGGTAATGAAAGTGTTTGGAAAGAATTGTTACTGAATCCTTCTCCGTCAGTCCGCCGAATTCTAATCGCCGCCGTTGGAATCAATTTCTTCATGCAAGCTTCTGGAAACGACGCCGTTGTGTATTACAGTCCCGAGGTTTTTCGAGAGGCCGGAATTGAAGATAACAAACAACTCGTCGGCGTAACAGTCGTAATGGGAATCGCTAAGATGGGATTTGTTTTGATTTCGGCTTTTTTCTTGGACCGGTTCGGCCGGAGGCCACTTTTGTTATTGGGCTCGACCGGTATGGCTTGTTCGTTGGCTGGGCTGGGCCTGGGCTCGAAATATCTGGAGTATTCAGATGAAAAGCCCAAATGGGCTATTGGGCTTTGCGTGGTGGCCGTTTGTGCGGCCCTGTCGTTTTTCTCTATTGGGCTTGGGCCCATCACTTGGGTCTATTCGTCGGAAATATTTCCGTCTAGATTGCGGGCCCAAGGTTCGAGCCTGGCGGTTTCCGTGAACCGGTTGGTAAGTGGTTTGGTGGCAATGACGTTTCTGAGCATTTCGAGTAAAATATCGTTTGGAGGGATGTTTTTTGGACTCGCCGGGATAATGACGGCGGCGGCGGCTTTCTTTTACCACTTTCTGCCGGAGACCAGGGGGAAAAGCTTGGAAGAAATTGAAACTCTCTTTGACGATGATGGACTTCATTAAACAATAATCTCATTTTTAATTTGAAACTTAATCCAAATTAGTATATTTAACCTTTTAAAATTAAAATAACATGTACAAAGTTATGTCATTAGTCTGTTAAAATTAAAATAAGAGTCCATTAAATAAATTTTTGTATTTCAATAACTAAAATAAATATTTTGAAAATTTGAAAACCAAAATGGATTTCTTTTTTTTAATGCTCAAAATTTTAACGACTCGAAAAATTTAGAACGTCGTGAGACAGTTCGGTCCATATCTGGTGTGAGCGTTAGAGCATTGAGAGGACCTTTTCCTAGTACGAGAGGACCGAGAAGAACACACCTCCAGTGTACCAATTATCGTGTCTATGGTAAATGCTGGGTAGCCAAGTGTGGAGCGGATAATTACTGAAACCAAGTAGTAAGCCCACAAGATGAGTGCTCTCTTATTCGATCTAATTTTTTAAAATATATTAAAATTGAACGATAAATTTTATTAAATATTTGAAAATAGGTAAAAGATAGATTGTTATTTTTCTAAATTTATTGGGGTTTTTTTTTTCAAATAAAGAGTTTGAATTATTATTCATTCAAAAACGCAATAATAATTTTTTTTAATTTTCAAAACGTAGTTTTGTGTTTCAAAAAATTGATAAAAAAAAAACAAAATTACATTATTATACTTAAAAGGGGATGCCATGACGTGTCCCATAAAGAGAACGTGTACAATCTTAGACCACAAATATTTAAATTTAAAAATTAAAAAAGCTTCGAATAAAGTAAACAAATAAAAATAAAAAGTGGTGGTCTAGGTTTTGCCCGACCCGAGTCGAGCGTCCTAACGATGGGATGTTAAAAAGCGGACACGTGTCACATTATATTCTCCAACTCATCTATGCTCGACCTCTCAAAAATTTAATATTCAATATTATATACTTCAAATATATATTATTTTAAATTGCCATAAATTATAAAAAAAATATATTATAATTGAGGGTTTAGATTAATTTAATTTAATAATTTAAAATTTAGAAGTATAATTCATCAACATTTAAGACAATAATAAATGAATCGTTTGACTTTTTGGTCACAAATTAAAATTAAATATTTCGATAAATTATTAAAAACAGTTACATGGTTTTATTTGTTGCGATGTAAAAGTTTCAAACAACTGTGGGGCCCACCAAAATAAGTGGGTCCAGTTGGCAGGATACATGATCATACAGGTGTACATATGCACACGTGTCTCTTGTGTGAAAGCCGCTTTCAAAAAACGACAAAAAGAAAAACGACGTCGCGTCATGCAACACGTGTAACCCATCAACGGAGTCGGGACCCACTGACTTTAAAAAAATTAAAAATAAAAATAGACATAAAATAAAAAGAGGAGAGCGCAAGAGACTATACCCTATCGTACACGTGACAACATGAGGGGAAGCGGCAAGCGGGACCCTTGAAATATTGTTATGGTGGGACCCAGTAGCTGACACGCGTCATAACATGAAAGATAAGTTTGGTGTTGTTGGTGGCAGGTGGGCCCCACCGGTCGGTAAAAATGTCGAATTTCCAATTTTACAAAAATATTAATTCAAACAAGGTTAAAATTGGAATGTTTTTATATTTGTATAGAAAAATATTTTTAAAAAATGTAAAATATATATACAATTTTTAGAATTTAGACTTTTATTATTTATTATTTATATTACTTTATTTCTTTTTATTTATTTATGTTTTTTACTTTTTTTTTTAATAATATTTTCAGAATTTTCATAAAGTAATTTTAAGAATTTATTTTATTCGAGTTTCTGAGCTTAAAAGAACGACGAAAGTCAAAAAATAAATTGTCGTATACAAACACAACTTTTAAAAAATAAAAAGGTAAAAATTTTGATTCGTAATGATTTATTTTTTTACCTATTCCTAAAAAGTAAAAGTAAACTTTTATACGCTTTATTTGTAACGGGTAAAAAAATGATGTCATAAAGGTTTATTTAAACAAAAATTATATTCCTAGGTATTAAACTTAACCTTGATTGTTCATATGGTATGTTTTATACGTAAACTTTAAATTTAGTAATTGGTTAGTAAATTGGTAAAATAGCACTGTAAATTTCAGATTGGTTAAAATTAAATATTTTATTAAAAAATAAATAAATTCCAGATTGGTAAAATATTGCAGCCTAACACGACATATATATTTTTTTTTTTTTCATTTACATATAAATACAGTTATACGGACAGCAAAACATAATTTCCCATCTCTATTCGCACTATAAATAAAATATAAAAAAGGAAAAAAAAATTAATTCGAAATTAAGATGGGGATTTATCCTAAAACCCACCGCTAAACAACGAAAACGGATAAGGCAGCGGCGAACTCGACCCTCCTCCGGCCCCCAGCTCCGCCAGGACACTATCTCGGCCGTCGCCGAGTTCGTAAACCGAAATATTACTCTCAGGCGGCGACAGCTCTATGTAATCGCCAAATCCGCCGCCGGAGTCAGCGCCGCCGCCGTTCCACCACAAGGTAGTCTCCGGCGACGACAAGGCGACGTTATCATCGAAAACACCAGTCTCCGGCGACGAATCATCCTCCATGGCTTTCACGAATTTGACCGGACTTGGAGGCGGTCGCATGGTCACACGCCGCCGTACGCGGCGGTTCTGCAGGAGAATTCTTTGAAGAATTTCGGGATTCTCCATGATTTTGTACAGAAAGGACATCATTTGTTGCGGGCGTTTTTCGGTCGCCTCGATTCGCTTGTTCATCGATTCGACTTCGGTTTCTAAAGCTATTTGTTCTTGTTTTAGCTTTGAAATTTCCAGTGCTAATTCTCCGTCGTCTTCACGCTTCACTTGAATGTGTGAATTTCGGCTGTGTCTTCTTCTTGTGATGTTCTTCAGCAAATGCTTTTGATCTCTCAGAAACCATTGGCTCGCAAATTCCCATTTGTCTGGATCGACCTTCTTGAATCCCTGTCCCCGACAAAAAAAAAAATTAATAAATTATATATAAAAAAATTTAAATAATTAAAATAATTTGAATTTTTCATGAATTATGCTATGAACCACATAGAAAAAAAAATTAATTTCATTAAAATACATTAAAATTTTGTGTTAATTTTTATTTTATTTTTTACATTTTAATTTAAAAAATAGTTACCCACTTGAATTAAAACGGGGCGAAATTGAAATTTTGGTTAGATTTGGGGTTTAATTTGTAATCGAGATGAAAATTGGAGGACTAAATAGAAATTTTTGAAAGAATTGATAAGGATTTGGACTTACATAGGTGTTGAGCTGGCGAACAAAACTGGAGAAGTTATTGTGTTTGAAGTAAGAAGGAAGAATACGGCGAGAGAGTTCCAAAGGATCGGCGACGATGAAGCTGTTGTTAGCTTTGCTCCACGCGATTAAATCGTCGGTGATCGGATCGTTGACCATCTGGTAAGTTTTCATTACGAACGGCGCAACGGTGTCGTTTTGTTGGTGGTTCGGCTCCATCCCATATACAGAGGAGAGAAAAGTATAGGGCTTCGCTTCAATGGAAGCTTGTGAGAGAAAAAGGGAATTGATGCTCAGAAATGTGAGGCGGCACTGTAATATATAGTGGGGAGGTGCGTACAGTAACATTGCTGACGTGGCGGATATCTGGCCGTTGGTTTTCTTGATTGGTTTGGGAGATTTTCTCTTCCTCACTTGGATTTTGATTGTCGTTTAGTACACGTCATGGTTTTGAGATCGGATAAGATGTTTCAGTGGCTAGAGCTTCCACGCGCTAAGCTGAGCGTACGTTTTAATTAAATTACAAATATGAAGATCTCAACTAAAGTTTTAATTTAATGGTCAGATTTTAAAAATAATCATGTATTCCTTATAAAGGTGCGGAAACCTCTCCCTAGCAGATACGTTTTAAAATCATGAGGCTCACAACAATACATAACGAAGTAAAACATATAATATGTGTCAGCGGTGGGCTTGAGCTGGTATCAAAGGCAGACATCGGTGGTGTGCTAACGAGGATGTTGGGCCCCCAAGGAAGTCGATTGTGAGATCTCACATGGGTCAGAGAAAGAAACAAAATATTCCTTAGAAGACGCGTTTTAAAACCGTGAGGTTGATAACAATACGTAATTAGTTAAAACGGATAATATCTGCTACTGATGGGTTTGATGTATTACAAATGGTATTAAAGCCAGATATTGGAGAGTAGACTGTGAAATGAGACCCCATCGGTTAGAGAGAGAAACGAAACGTATATCTCAACAACAAAAGTAAGGATGTACACGAGCCGGATTAGGTCAAGTTAGAAATCTCTGAGACCAACCCAAGATCATGGGTTCGTTGGGTTAGTAACTTGAGTTACCCGAATATAGTTCACAACCTAACCTTATGGGTTCGTTGAGTCAAAATGTTGACAAGCGTACCGACTCGAGAATTTTCTTCCTAGCTGTTTTTATTTATTATTTATTTTTATATATAATTTAGGCAAACATTTAATATATGGGAAAAGTTGCATGCAATTATCCGAAAAGCTGAATCACGCTCCACACGTCCGCGTGGGGAAGGAACAGCCATATGAAAATAATAATAAAATAACCTGAGGAAAGTAGGGCCGTACAGTGTCTTAGATTTGGTCGTTCATCAGCTGATTTTGCTCCCAGCCTTTACTTTTCGAGCAAGGCTACGCCGCTAAGCTGCCCGCAAAGCATATCCACGTGGTTCTTACAAAATATCGCCACGTTTCCAGCCGTCGTTTTCTCCAAATTCACTATTATTATATTATTATTATTATTATTAATTATTCTTTTAATGTTTGGCGGGTAGTGTTTGGGATAAGGGAACAAAAATTGTGAGCTCCAAATCTATTCTTCCCTCCACTTAACCAAGATTCAACCCCTTTTTATTTGTTTTTTTTAATTAATTTAATCCTTTTATATATATATATATATATATATTAAATATTTCGTATAGTTCATAATACTTTTAAAATTAAAAATACAATTTATTTTTTTTTATTGTAATGCTTGAGGAAAATATAATACACATTTGAACGAGAGAGATCTTGAAGATAAAATAGTTAAGAAAAACTTAAAAGAATTGAAAGTCGCTACTTGTATCAACAAGGTACACCTCCTTAAAAACGTGAAATAAACAACATAAACATGTCACGTGAGATACAGGAGAATGTCGGAGTTGTCAAGTTCGATTTCATGTTTGAGACATGGCTGTTACACGAGGACTCTTTTAAAATAAATGTCGAGAATTGAAAAAAAGTTGAGGAGTACGATTGAAACAAAGAGGATATTTTTGATAATTTAATATTTTAAGTTGTAATTTTTTTTTTAATGTTATATATATATATTTTTTTTAATATTAAAATTATAAAATTTGAAATTAATGGACGAAAAGTACGAAAGGTAAAATACATAGCTAAAATAATATTTCAATAAAAATAAATAAATAAATAACAAATATGGAATTGATAATGGCTACGGAATTGCCATTTTTTTTCTCTTTCCGAGCCGACGCTCATTGTTAGCCTGAGAATCTCAGTGTTGGGGTTCGAATCAAGCTCAAAGACGCGGGCGTGATTTCCATTTCGTGGCATCCATGGAAGAAATACTCATTTGGAATCGTCGCAACCATCTCGACTTCCGATCTCGCTTCTGTAAGTTCATTCTCTTCCTCGGTTATGTCATTTTATTCCGCTTATCGTGCATTGTGGAGCTCTATTTGAACGAAATTTGAAAATCTTGTTACTCGGCTTGATTTAGTTTCTTATTCGACTTGATTCTGTCATCTTTAGGCTTTTGAATCGTTCTTAGACTTTGATAATGCTTCTCGTAAGCTAGGATCGATGGAAACAGAATTAAGTTTTTAATTTCTTGGATTTTGAAATCATTCCTAAAAGGTAATCATAAACAAAAAGAACTAAGATAAGAACATTGTTTAAGCTTCGTAGATTTAGAACATAATCTATTTTTTTAATATAAATTATTGGTATATTCGTAGTTTAATATGGTATTAGAATAGAAGATTAAACATACAAATCCCTGAAATATAATTTTCTCCTGATCAATATATTAAGCTCTCATGTACCAAGTTGGCTCTGTAATCAAGTCAGTGTTTGAGCTCACATACAAAAGGTAAAGTGCCCCAAACACATTAAGTTAAGCCTTTTGGTTTAGTTTCAATATAACTTTCCTGTGCAAGAAAATTGGCTTTGATTCTTGCCTGCTTTCAGTATTTGATTTGTAATAATTTAAAGATGGTGAATGATCCACACATTGGGCAGCTTTGGCCTGCCAACGAAATCCATGAATCTTTCATTTGGTTGCTTGCGAGTCATTTTGAGCCCTCTTCTGGTTACTTTAGTGTAGAGCTATAAAATGCCAATATCATCTCTCATTGTCAAGCGATCCTTCTGAAAAAGATGACTGCGAAGAAAAGAAGAAAGGGGAAGAGAGACTGGCGAGCCTGAGCTGTACAAATGTTGAATGCTGAGTTAAGTATCCTCTGTTAATGTGACTTTCTATCCTGAAAATGGTGATTGAGAATGACAATATCTTGGTTGTTATTTGGAGTACCGCTTGAAACTGAATGCTCTTTTCTCATGATTGTTGCAGGCTGTTATTGGTTGTGTACTATATACCAAATAACTTAATCTCTGATGAACAACAAGTACAGAATTGCCGTTGCAGTTTTGTTCAATCGATTTGCTGCAGATTGGTAAGCTTCTGTTAACATTGTCTTACATTAGTTTGCTCCATTCTTATGCCTTATAAGTGTTTCACAACTTTTAAGATTACCAAATGGTATAGAGTCGTTAGAACATGATGAAATAATCTTTAATCAAAAGATGGATGGATGTTATAAAGAGATGATCGAGGAGTTGTGAGGAACTCTAGTGATGTTTGGGCCATTGACAGGCTCTATGTTTCTCTTTGGGTGTCGATGACGACGGTTTTTTGTAATTACTCGATAGGTCTCATTTTACATGACTGGAACTCCTTTCTTTTGCTGGGCCTCCTTTTGTGGGTTTGTTTTTTTGGATGCCCTTGCACTCTTTCAGTTTTTCTCAATGAAAGTTCGGCGGTTTCTTGTAAACTAAAAAAAATCAAATGATGGAAGTAGTCTAATAGAACGGCTAAGCTGATTCAGCATTTTGTTTTTTCTTTCATTTTTATTCGAATTTAATACTCCATGAGTTTGTAGGAATCCCAATAACTGAAATGTAATGTATATCATGTATGAAGGCCCATCCCTGTTGTCATGTATGGTAAAGCTATCAAACAAAACAAGGGCATTCTGATATTGAAGTGTCATATTAGATCCAAAATTGTGTTTGCCCGCCCTTTGCCAATGGATAACCATTGAAAGTTCTGATCTATCTGTTTCTCTCTAGCACTCTATGGGGTAAATCAGTATGAACTTTTTAGCTATTGGATCAGTATAATTCCATGGGGCCTCTTTTCTTCATAATTTGGAACTGTTCTAGCAAATTCACCGACTCCTGAGAATGATTCACTTCAATTATTGAGTGGAGTGGGAGTATCTGATCCTCCATGATCAGTGGATATGAAAAGAACCTCTTGATGTGGATGAGTTTTGTCACAGTTCTACAGTCTCAAATGCATCAAATAACCTTAGTTTTGAACTTCAGTTACTGCCCTTCAGATATTGTGCTTAGTGGAAATTATATATTTTGTACGACATATTGCTTTGACCCGTTACGTATTGTCGTTAGCCTCACAGTTTTAAAATGCGTCTGCTAGGGAAAGGTTTCCATACCCCTATCAGGAATGTTTCGTTCCCATCTCAAACCGATGTGAGATCTCAGGGGACCAGCGTCCTAGCTGGCACACCGCTCAGTGTCTGGCTCTGATACCATTTGTAACATGTCAAACCCACCACTAGCAGATATTGTGCGTTTTGACCTATTACGTATCACCGTCAGCCTCATGATTTTAAAACGCATCTACTAGGGAGAGGTTTCCACACCCTTATAAGGAATGTTTCGTTCCCTTTTCCAACCGATGGGAGATCTCATATATTTAGTCCTCCTTTCTGATTTGTATTCAAGTTGTGGAAGATATTGATATTATATCCTAGAATGACCACATCATTATAATTATTGATACTAAACAAATAGAACTTAGCCAGATTCCTCTTTTTGACATAAGAGATAGCGTGGGCTTTTTTTGTATGGTTGCTTTCACTAAGGACAAACCGAGAAGAATAAAAGATATCACCTCTTGAATTGCACTATAACTACTTCTAGCCTCACGCACTAGTTGAGGATAAATCTCTTAATACTGATCATATTTATATTGTGATTAACAGAGCTCTTTCTCTTTTAAATACTTGAGTTTCCATACTTCTTGCAGTCTGCAGATATGGCCTCTGATGGCAGCCTTAGCGTTGTGGTTTCCACATCTCCTAAACATGGCAACAGAGATGCTGAGACCGTGAGGTCGAGTTCGCCGAAAGGCCAGTGTTTATGCTCACCCACGATGCATCAAGGCTCCTTTAGGTGTCGGCTTCATCGTTCGATGTCATCGGCATGGATGAAACGATCGAAATCAATGCCTGCCGACCACCCTGTGGCTTCTCTTTCTTCCAAAGAATCTCTTGGATCATCCTAAGGGCCTGTGCATGAAGCTAAGTACATGTACCACACCTTAAACTTATATCCTTCTGGTTCTCTCAAGTTGTGGAGAAGAAAAGCTTTGATCTTATATCTCAACTTTGTTTGCAATGGATTATATATAACATATTTGTGTGTTCACGCATGCAATGCTTATCTGTGTACATGTCTTGTGAAAAGTAACTATTTTCTATAATTCTTCATGAAATACAATGGTGAGATCCCACGTCGGTTGGGGAGTAGAACGAAACATTTTTTATAAAGGTGTGGAAACCTCTATCTAGAAGACGTGTTTTAAAAACCTTGAGGGAAAGTCCGAAAGGAAAAGTCAATATCTGCTACGGGTGGGTTTGGGCTAACAATGAGCTGAACTCCTTCTTCCTTTTGTACTGCTGTTAAGATGTTAGATATCAACATGCTTGAAGTTGACGAGATCATTAACTAGATCAATGGTCGGAAACCATTTCGTTCGGCTTTGGCTTAAACCCGAACATAAACAGCTCAATTTTTCTTCTCTCTGCCTGCCTTGACCTTGTAAATCTTTTTATGGACATAATGAAGTGGTTGAGATTAGCTATGGATGGTTTATGAATGGATTGGGAAGATAAGAAAGGCAAGTAGCCATGGCCTACCCTTAGAGGAATATCAATGGGAATGGGATTTGGTGGTTAGATTATCTCTTGTCTTTGTTACTTGTCAACCTCATTATCTTCAATTATTGCAGCCCCTTGCACACTTTTGTTCATACCCAAACTTTGTGCCTATCATTTTGTCTTTGTTTTTTTGTCTGCTAAGTTTATCCTATCTTTGATTTTGATTTTATTTCGACTTTAAATCTCGAACTTATCTCGAACAATCCCACCTTAACTAGTTAAACTAAACTCGTAATTAATATTTACATAGTGATTTAGACCGTTAGATACTAATAGACGTAAGTTTGAATTGTCTATTACATTTCGAAATCATTGCACGAACTTGATGAAAGTTTTTTTGTTAAAATGACATAAACTTACCCGATAGTTGATGCGTAGAAAATTGGAACGCAAGAATGGATTAAGAAATTGACATGGTAGTTGATGTGTGAAACCTTTCATTTATTGATTAAACTCGAAGAATCGTACACCATAACCATTCATCATAATTTTGATAATTTATTGACTTAGCTCGTAAGTTTTGAAAACGGTAGAATCTTAACTAAGCAATCGTCTTTTTGTAAACTACGACACAAAGATCGAACCTGGTTTGATTGACCCTCGAATCAAAATATATAATTAGATAAAACATTAAAAGATTCATGCATCATTAAATAATACGGAATTCATGAATATTTTTATTGTGGTGATTTATTATTTATTGATTTAAATAATAAATAAAATATTTGTTAAATACTATATTTATAGTTTTTATTTTTATTTTTAATAAATCACTTATTTACGATATGTGTGAAAAAAATATGGGGAGAAAACGTCAATATTAAAAAAATAAATTGAAGTTGTAAAATGTCATCCATGACCCTTTCCCATCCGAACCCCATTTACCCGCCGTTCTTGTTTCTGGTGGATCAGATTAAAAGAAACTTGTAATTTAAAGTTACAATGGAAGGCTAAAAAGGTAATTTAGGTCATATTTTAACATAAATACTAATTTGAGAAACATTCAACACATTGCAAAATTAGGGCACTTAAAAGGGCGCAAAAATTTGGCGCCAATTTTAACTATTGCAATTCACTTCTGTACTGTCCTCTTCAGTCTCCAGTTCTAACGAAGCTTTCCACAATTCATCGTGAAAAATGCAGCGCCAGAAATCTTTGTTATCATTCTTCCAAAAATCTCCGTCCGAAAATCGGAGCTCCGATGGGGATACCTCCTCCGTCGCCCAGCGGCTCACTCGCTTTCCGGCGAAACCAAACGTTGCCGGTTTGGAGCAGCGGGGTATCCAGACCAATGCGGATCCCTCCCTGGAGATTAGAGGAACCGACACGCCGCCGGAGAAGGTGCCTCGCCAGATTTTGCCGGTGATTGAGAAGAACAGAGGTTCTTCTCTCTTTTCGAGCATCATGCACAAATTTGTGAGAGTCGATGATAAACACAAGGCGCACGAGAGGTAATGTTGATACTAACTAAGCGAGCAGGTCTTCGGATTCTTAGTCGATGACGTACTGCATTTTGTTTTCTCCATTTGAATCGCGTAGTATACTGTTCTTGTAATACTCTTGCATCGTTTTCTATTGGTTTTAGAAGAACCAAACGCGTCTTTGTACTGACGAGTTCTTGTAATACTTTTGCATCGTTTTCTCTTGATTTTAGAAGAACCAAACGTGGCTTATTCTATGATGTAGTTGCATTTTAATATTTATGTATGAATCCTGCAGGGACGAGATTAAAAAAGATTCCTCTCAGAACGAGGTTTGGAAAGATTCTTCTCAGTTACCTTCCATTTCTGGTAAGGTTAACGATCCATTAGAACTTACGGAGCTAAAGGGAGCTTCTAGACATCATGGTAAACTCCACGCTGCAAATTTAAACGGACATAGAGGACCTGTCTTGGATATTGAAAGCGATGATGGCATTGGTGGACCAGAAACACCTGGCATGCGACCTTCTGCCTCACGTTTGAAGAGATCTCAAGAGATCTCTCTTGTGGATGGGAGTGCTGATTTTTTGCAGCATAGTACCAAAAGAATTAAACTTCTTCAGGACTCGATAAATTCAAACATGATTCACAATGAAGTTTCTGATGCAACTAGCAAATTTGATTGGCTCAATCCCTCTCAAATTAGAGATGCTAATGGTAGAAGGCCTGACCATCCTCTTTATGATAAAAAAACATTATTCATACCACCTGACGTGCTGAAGAAAATGTCAGCGTCACAAAAACAATACTGGAATGTGAAATGTCAATACATGGACATTTTGCTTTTCTTCAAAGTGGTTAGTTTATATTCTCGAACAGCATCATTGCATGAATTAGCTCCTGATTTCAATATACATTTTTTTCCTATGAATTGTTGTTCATTTCGTGTTACCTGTGCTGAAATGGGTATCTCTACAATTTGCAACCATATAAGTATTTTGCTTACAAAGGTCACATTGGAACTGTAATAGAAATGAGTTGTATTATCGTGATATTTTTTTTTTTTTTTTTTTTTTGTGATATGTCCACACGAGAATCAATTTAAATAAAATTTGGATCCATCATAGAAGTAGAGATGAAAAGAACAAAAATAAAAATATGGGGAATATGAATTGTAGCCTTTACTTTTTCAAGGGATGTCATTTTCCTTCAAATTCAGAAATCATTGTTGACTTTGGGTTGAGATCCATATTTCCTGACCTATTCATTTTGGCACATTCACTGATAGACTAATAAGGTATTAAACTTATTATTTGATAAGCTCAATTTTTCTCTAAATCAGTGAGGGGTTTTCCTCTTCTACACAGTTTATACCCTTGGTAGACTTTGCTTTCACTGGTGGATGCTTTTAAATATGTAATCAATAAACTACCTCGATTCGTTAATATAAGAATATGAATTTTCTTTTGCACATCACAGGGAAAGTTCTATGAGCTATATGAACAAGATGCTGAAATTGGTCACAAGGAGCTTGACTGGAAAATGACATTAAGTGGCGTTGGGAAATGTAGGCAGGTTAAATAAAATTCATCAATCTGTTTTTTCCTGTGTATTTATTTCTTCATCTTTTAGTTATCCACATATCCCTGATATTACCTATTCTACTTAGGTTGGTGTTCCTGAAAGTGGGATTGATGATGCCGTTCAAAAGCTTGTTGCTCGCGGGTAAGGATAGATAGCTCTGTTATGTTGTTCATCTGACTTATTAATGTTTCTCCAGATTGTATCCTATAAGATGTAAGCTTTTGTTCTCACTTGATGCACCAAGAGCAAAGGAGTCTAAGCAGCAAATGAGTAAACTAGAGGCATTAGATCTGATTCAAAACACTAACGAAAATTTACTTCAGCATCATGTTTGCATGCTATTTATTTTGAGTATGTGTGATGAGGCTAACACATTCTTGTGACAATCTTTATGAAGACATAAAGTTGGGCGAATTGAGCAGTTGGAATCTTCGGATCAAACAAAAACCAGAGGTGCAAATTCTGTAAGTTTGTCGCTTCAGATATCATGTGGACATTGATTCTGATTTCTGCATATTCATTTCAAAGTTGTCTTTTTTCTTCTTTTTTACCTGGATTTTTGTGCTGAGCGTTTGTGTAGAGGTTCATCTAGATGATTTTTAATTTGGATTTTCAAAATTATCAAAAGACGTTCCATTGTGCTTCTTTCTACTTGTTCCATATATTATACATCTGAATGGTATACTTTTAACGATTTAATTTATGACTTGTTAATTTCAGGTGATACCTCGGAAATTGGTACAGGTTGTTACTCCATCAACCAAGGTTGATGGTGATATTGGGCCTGACGCTGTTCATTTGCTTTCCATCAAAGAGGTATTAGAAATTAATTCAATTCTTGTATGTAATTGATATTTGGAATTGTTAGAAAATTTAAGATTGTGGTTCTAGATAAACTTGTCCATTTTTCTTTCAGTAATAAGTTTGAGGCATATATTTTACTTTTCTTCATTCTTTTTTCAAACAAATTCTAAAAAGTTCTTACTCATTGAAAAGTTCACAGTTAACCAACAGTTGAGGGATCTATTCCATGGCATTATCGTTTCAAATCTCATTTTGGACTAGGAAATTACTGTTAGATGATGATGAAAATAAACATTACATCATAAAGCTACATTGACAGTATGCTTCATTGGAATTTTTCTCTAGGAGAGTTGTGGGCTGGATAATAATTCAATTGCATATGGGTTTGCCTTTGTTGATTGTGCTGCGTTAAAATTTTGGACTGGCTCTATCAAAGATGATGCTTCCTGCGCTGCTCTCGGTGCCCTCTTGATGCAAGTAGGCAATTCAAAATTTTCTTTTTGCATTTCTGTTATTTGTTTTTGCAAGTTTGATAGTAATATGTGCATTTGTGGTTTCTCTAGGTGTCTCCAAAGGAAATAATATATGAAGCTAGAGGTAAGAATCTTTCCTCTCATCTTGGACTTCAGGCTTTTATTTAATTGATTGATATATTTATTTTTGGTGAACTGTCCTTCAACGTCCACAATTTTATTTTGTGCA